CAAACATTCAAAAAAGAACTAACACCCATTCTCCTCAAACTCTTTCAAAAAATTCAATAAGAAGGTAGACTTCCAAACACGTTCTATGATGCCAGCATAATTCGAATTCCAAAACCAGAAAGACACTACAAAGAAAGAAAACTACAGGCCAATATCCCTGATGAACATAGACATCAAAATCCTGAACAAAATACTAGCAAATTGAATCTGGCAATACATCAAAAAAATTATTCACCATGACCAAGTGGGATTCATTCCAGGGATATAAGGCTGGTACAATATTCGCAAATCAATAAATGTGATACACCACATAAACAAAATGAAGAATAAAACCACATGATCATATCAATAGATGCTGAAAAGCATTCAACAAAATCCAGCATCCATTTCTGATAAAAACGCTCAGCAATGTAGGAATAGAGGGATCATATCTCGACATAATAAAGGCCATATATGAAAGACCTACAGCCAACATCATACTCAATGGACAGAAACTAAAAACATTTCCATTAAGAACAGGAACAAGACAGGGATGTCCACTTTCACCATTCTTATTTAACATTGTACTGGAAGTCTTAACCACAGCAATCAGACATGAGGAAAAAAATAAAAGGGATCCAAATTGGAAAGGAGGAAGTGAAACTGTCATTATTTGCAGATGACATGATATTATACATAGAAAATTCTAGACTCCATCAAAAATCTACTAGACTTAATAAATGAATTTGGCAAAGTAGCAGGATACAAAATTAACGTCAAGAAATCGACGGCATTCTTGTACACCAATGATGAACTCGCAGAAAGAGAAACTGAAAAAACAATCCCATTTATCATCGCGCCAAAAAAAATTAAGATACGTAGAAATAAAATTAACCAAAGAAGTAAAGGACCTATTTGCAGAAAACTACAGGACATTGATAAAAGAAATAGAAGAAGATATAAAAAAGTGGAAGCACATACCCTGTTCATGGATTGGAAGAATTAACATCATTAAAATGTCCATACTACCCAAAGCAATCTATAGATTCAACGCAATCCCCATCAAAATTCCAATGACATATTTCACAGAACTAGAACAAATGCTTCAAAAGTTCATATATAACCAAAAAGGTCCCCGAATAGCCACAGCAATTTTGAAAAAAAAAAAAAAAAAAGGCCAAAGTAGGTGGGATCACAATACCAGAAATCAGGTTATACTACAAAGCGACTGTAATCAAAACAACCTGGTACTGGTACAAGAACAGGCATATAGACCAGTGGAAGAGAACTGAAAACCCAGAAATGGACCCAAGGCAATATGCTCAATTAATATTTGACAAAGGTGGCAAGAGCATACAGTGGAGTAAAGGCAGCCTTTTTAATAAATGGTGTTGGGAAAATTGGACAGCCAGATGCAAAAAAATGAAACTAGACCATCAACTTACACCATACACAAAAATAAACTCAAAATGGATAAAATACTTAAATGTGACCTGTGAATCCATAAAAATTCTAGAAGAAAATCTAGGCAACAAAATTTCGGATATCATACACAGCAGAATTTTTACTGATACATCACCTACGGCAACAGAAACAAAGGAGAAAATGAACACATGGGACTACATCAAACTAAAAAGCTTCTGCACAGCAAAAGAAACAATCATCAAAATGGAAAGGCAACCCACTGTATGGGAGAACATCATTGCCAATGATGTATCAGATAAGGAGTTAATTTCCAATATATATAGTGTGCTCATACAACTCAACATAAGGAAGACAAAGAACCCAATCAAAAAATGGGCAGAGGAGCTGAATAGACACTTCTCCAAACAGGACATACAAATGGCTAAGAGACATATGAAGAAATGTTCAACATCACTAATCATCAGAGAGATGCAAATTAAAACAACAAAGAGGTATCACCTCACACCTGTCAGAATGGGCGCCATCAACAAATCATCAAACATGTGTTGGCAAGGGTGTGGAGAAATGGGGACTCTAATACACTGCTGGTGGGAATGCAGACTGGTGCAGCCACTATGGAAAACAATATGGTGTTACCTCAAAAAATTTTAAAAATTGAACTTCCATTTGACCCAGTGATCCCGCTTCTCGGAATATACCCTAAGAAGCTTGAAACACCAATCAGGAAGAATATATGTACCCCCATGTTCATAGCAGCACTATTTACAATAGCTAAGATCTGGAAATAGCCCAAGTGTCCATCAGTAGACGAAATGATAAAAAAGCAGTTGTACATATACACAATGGAGTACTATGCAGCGGTATGAAAGAAAGATCTCTTATCCTTTGAGATTTCATGGAGGGACCTGGAAAGTATTATTCAAAGTGAAATAAGCCAAGCAGAAAAAGACACATTAGCACATGAATACACTTATATACAGAATATAATGAACATAACAGTCTGAGGAATACGGTAGACCCAGTAACATGGAAGTAGGGCACAGACTGACATCCCTCAGAAGAGAGGGTGGTGGGGTCGTGGGAAGAGATGAAACACAGTACTTATATGCGTGTATGCATGACCAATGTACATGGACAACTAAGCCGGCGATGAGGCGGGGGTGGGGTGGGGAAGGGAGTGCCAATGGGGTAATAATTGAGAAATATCTGTAACAAAAATAAATAAATAAATGAATATGTAAAAAAAATAAAAATAATTAAAATTAAAAATAAATAAATAAATGGTGTTGGCAAATTGGACAGCCACATGCAAAAAATGAAACTAGACCATCAACTTACATCCTACACAAGAATAAACTCAAAATGCATAAAAGACTTAAATGTGACTCATGAATTTTTAAAAATCCTAGAAGAAAATGTAGGCAACAAAATTTCAGACATTATATGCAGCAGAATTTTCACTGATACATCACCTAAGACAACAGAAACAAAGGAGAAAATGAACACATGGGACTACATCAAACTCAGAAGCTTCTGCACAGCAAAAGATATAATCATCAAAATGGAAAGGAAACCCACTGTATGGGAGAGCATAACTGCCAGTGATATATCAGATAAAGGGTTAATTTCATATATATATATATATATATATATATATATATAGAGAGAGAGAGAGAGAGAGAGAGAGAGAGAGAGAGAGAGAGAGAGAGAGAGAGAGAGTGCTCATACAACAACAAAAGGAAGACAAAGAACCCAATTTAAAAATGGGCAGAGAAACTAAATAGACACCTCTCCAAACAGGACATACAAATGGCTAAGAGACATATGAAGAAGTGTTCAACATCACTAATCATCAGAGAGATGCAAATTAAAACCACAATGAGTTATTACCTCACACTTTTCAGAATGGCCGCCATCAATAAATCATCAAACAAGTGTTGGCAAGGGTGTATAGAAAAGGGGACCCTAGTACACTGCTGATGGGAATGCAGACTGGTGCAGCCACTATGGAAAACAATATGGTATTACTTCGAAAAGTTAAAAAATTAACTTCCGTTTGACCCAGTGATCCCACTTCTAGAAATATACCCTAAGAAGCCTGAAACACCAATCAGAAAGAATATATGTACCCCCATGTTTGTATCAGCACTATTTACAATAGCTAAGATCTGGAAACAGCCCAAATGTTTATCAGTAGACGAATGGATAAAAAACTGTGGTACATATACACAATGGAATACTATGCAGCTGTAAGAAAGAAAGGTATCTTATCTTTTGAGACGACATGGAGGGACCTGGAAAGTATTATCCCAAGCAAAACAAGCCAAACAGAGAAATACAAGTATCATATAATCTCACCTATTTGTGAAATATAATGAACATAACCATCTGAGGAACTGGGCAGTCCCAGAGTCATGGAAGTGGTGTACAGAGAGACGATCCCCACAAGAGGGGGTTGGGGGAGAGATCAACCACAGATCTTTTATGCATGTATGCATGAACAATGGACTTGGACAACAAAGGTGGGGACAAGTCGGGGAGGGAGGGTGAAGGGGGAATCAGTGGGGGAAAAGGAGAAACATCTGTAACAAAAATAAAAAAAATTATTAACAAGAAAAAAGAACATGAAAATGAAAAAAAATAATTTGGACACTCAAAGGGTAAGTGTTATTTCTTTCTTACAGCTGCATAGTATTTTATTGTGTAATTGTACCATAGCTTTTTTGTCCATTTATTTACTGATTGACACTTGGGTTGTTTCCAGATCTTAGCTATTGTAAGTAGCACTGCTATGAACATAGAGGAGGAGGGGATCATAGGGGAAAAAAGAGGGATATCTATAATACTTTCAACAGCAACAACAACAACAAAGAACTGTTTTGTTCTTGGAGATTGCAACAAGTGGGTAGGTAATTCAAAGCTAGTGCCTTCACTTACATGTCTGGGACCGAGGCTCAGCTAAAACTCCTACCTGTAGCTAAATTTAAGAAGTTCTTAATGTCCAAGTGTTTTCTCTCTGCCTTGGTCATCAGCTTCTTTCCTTGATCAAATAATCATTAAACATCTAGTGGGGTAATCATGTGTAAGGAGTTAGGTTCACCTTATTGAGCTTTCTTCTCTCCAGGATCTTGGGTCGTCACATCACATTTTTGTTGCCTTATCTTGTCTTTCACTAGAATAGTTCATATGGAGTAGGGCAAGGAAATTATAGACATATCAGCTTTAGGCTATAACTAAGATGATGTACAATAAAAAGGGAAAGCTGATGGGACATGTCATTGAAGAAGGCAGAAAATCATTTTAAAAGCTCAGGTGTTAATCGGAAAATTTAGGCTTTTAATTAGGAAAGCACAAAATATCAAGTCTCACTGGGAAAAATAAAGAGCAGATGACTCTTGACTCATAATGCCAGTGAGTATAGGGAGGACATCCTCTCCAGTGAATATCATTTATTTTATGCCATAAACCCAGGGAGACTATAGTCCCCATCCCATGGAAGCAGGGCTACTGCACCAATATAAATGCCTTTTCCTTACCAGCAAAGTGTGGATCCAGAGAGATGTCAGAGGATATTTTTAGTCTGTCCTCTTAGAGACATGTGGAATGCAAGGTAAGACTCTGTTATTCATGGTTAGGACTGTGGAAAATATTATGAAAATGGGGAATGATTTCATGTTAAGTTAGAATAGAGTGAGGGGGAAAAAGTAAGTATATGATACAGTATTGGAAAAAGGATGAAGAAAATACAAAATACACAGACAAGCTTTGGGCATTACAAAATTTATTCCCCTAAACTTTCATGGCTACATACATTTCTGTATGTATGTATGTATATAATTATCTATAATCTCTCTCTCTCTCTCATCTATCTACCTTTATATCCATAGTCCCACACATGAAACAGCAGGTGAGATGCAGAAGATACTCTGTATCAGCTCAGCTACTTTTTTAACCTTTATGCTATGTACCAAATGTGAACATCAGAGACCAGAAACTATGTTTTTCTGGAACCTAACACATTTCCAAGCTTAATAAATGTCATAAACAGGTATGTTTCTGAACAATTGAATTCACGAATGAATAAGTCATGAAGCATAACTATGACTATGAGTAGAGTTTTTGTTTTGTTTTTTTACATTTTTTGTTTTGTTTTATTTTAATAGGGCTCAAAACCAAGGTAAGAAGATAGCTGAGAAATAAAATCACATGTGGATAGCTTTGGTCATTTACTAGTAGCATATGCTATTGGATTGGGAATTAGGCACAGATAAGATAAAAAGGTTTAGAGCAACTTTTCCAATCTTGGTATTACTGACATTTTGGGTCAGATTACTTTTTGTTATTGGGGTGGGGAGGTCCTATGCTTTGTAGGATATTTAGCAACATTCTTGGCATCTACCCATTAGACATCAGTAACACTTCCCCTAAATTGTGACAATCAAAATGTTTCCAGACATTGCCAAATATGCCCTAGGAAAAAAATCAACCGGGTTTTCAAATCATTGGTATAAAGTATCTCTTCTTGTTACCTCTATCAGGTAGAGGACATGAAATGCTGTGAGTGTACATGGGTCAAGGTGAGGTGGAGGTGTGGAATATTGTAGAGTAACAACATGATTCAGAACTGAAAAAAAATGGCTGTCTGATATAAATTCATTACAGGGCATTAGAAATCATGGTCTCAAAGAAGAGAGGCTGGGGCCCAGTCTCATCATTGTCACTGGCAAAGATTTGAGGCTCTATAAATATACATTGACGGGATAGATTGGCTTATACTTATGAAAAGAGTAAGTAAATAGTTGGTTTGATCATTGGAAATGTGACTGTTTAAGCACTTAGTTGGGTACCAATTCTGGGTAACATGCCAGAAAAATCAGAAGTGAACTAGGAAAGAGCTCTCTCCTGCAGATAAAACCACAATAATTCTACTACCTCATGCACTAGGTCACTTAAAGAGGGTGCCATTAATCTCCTTTCTTGATTGTCTTACAATATTAACTTAGGATAAACAAATCCAGCAATTTGCACCCAAGCTAGTTACTATATAAAGAACCATTTTGATAAATTCCTTTTCAGCCCAGCTGGTGTGGCTCAATGGCTGAACGTTACCAGTTCGTTCCTGGTCAGGGCACATGCCCTGGTTGTGGGCCCAATCCCTAGTGGTGGGCATGAAGGAGACGGCCAATCAATGTTCTCTCTCATCAATGTTTCTATCTCTCTCCCTTCTCTCTTCCTCTCTCTCTGGAAGGAAGGAAGGAAGGAAGGAAGGAAGGAAGGAAGGAAGGAAGGAAGGAAGGAAGAGGAGAGAGGAGGAAAGAGAGAGAGACAGAAAGAAAGAAAAGAAAAAGAAAAGAAAAGAAAAGAAAGAAAGAAAGAAAGAAAGAAAGAAAGAAAGAAAGAAAGAAAGAAAGAAAGAAAGAAAGAAAGAAAGAAAATAAATTCATTGGGTATTTCTGATTACACTTCCCAATACAGCATCTTAAATTAATTAGCAACTTTTTTTCCAAAGGAAAATGAGACCATTTCAATTTAGAAATTTTATAAATCCAAGTTTATCCAAACTATAAAAGTCCCTGTGCAAAACATTTTCATTTTCTTGTCTTTATTCATGATCTAAAATATTTTGGATGAAGATGGCTATTGGAATATCTAGTTAAGATGGAAACTATATTATCAGTCATCTGGGGTATGCTGGATGGTGTTATGACTTTCCAATGACTCATTCATTGAGGAAACATTGTTTTCTAAGAGTATGTACGTCTGAAGTAGTTTCAGGTGCATGAATAAACAAAAGTAAATTTGTAGCCTCTGATTTCAGGGACAAATAGATGTATAGCCGCAGCCAAATATATACACATATATACATACAAATATATACATATTTATGTATACATATATGTATATATATACACATATATAAATTATCCTCAAGTTTCCCAATGAGAGAATGGGTTGAATTTCATACACTATAGTATTTTTCATATTCATTAAATGCAATATATGTATCACCACAAGATAAAAACCAAAAAAACCCTTTCTTATTTCTACTCCTCACCTTGAATATCAACTGATGGATGTTATTCTCCTCTGTCTTCTTGTTCAACCTTGTGTGAATGGGAATGATCTAAGGAAGAGTGAGACTCGCTTGATCCCTGGAGCCATCTAATGTTCAGGTAAGATGGCAGAGAAGTTTTAACTACATTGAATGAGAGAAAATGACTATTACAATGTTATTTTGAATTGTACCAGGAGACAGGAAGAAAACAACGTGAAGTAATATCACTAATGGGAAGTTAACATTTAACACTGATATGTACAATCAACAGCAGCAGCAGAAAGAATATCTATGCCTAACGACACCTGGTTCCATCCTTCTTCATTCCTTTTGCTGGGCATCCCAGGGCTGGAGCATGTGCATGTATGGATTGGTTTCCCCTTTTTCTTTGTGTATCTTGTTGCACTCCTGGGGAATGCTGTTGTCCTGTTTGTGATCCAGACTGAACATAGTCTCCATGAGCCCATGTACTACTTCCTGGCTATGCTGGACTCCATCGACTTGGGCCTGTCCACAGCTACCATCCCCCAAATGCTGGGAATTTTCTGGTTCAACCTCAGGAATATACCTTTTGGAAGCTGCCTTTCCCAGATGTTCTTCATCCACTTCTTCACTGCTATGGAGAGCATTGTGTTGGTGGCCATGGCCTTTGACCGCTACATTGCCATCTGTAAACCACTTCGATATTCCATAATCCTCACCAGCAAAGTCATCAGCATTATTGGAGGCATTGCCATTCTGCGGAGCCTGTACATGGTGGTCCCACTGCTGTTTCTCCTCCTGAGACTGCCCTTCTGTGGGCATCATATCATCCCTCATACCTACTGTGAGCACATGGGCATTGCCCGTCTGGCCTGTGCCAGCATCAAAGTGAATATATTGTTTGGCCTTGGCAACATTTCTCTCCTATTACTGGATGTGCTCCTAATTATTCTCTCCTATGCCAGGATCCTCTATGCAGTCTTTTGCCTGCCTTCCTGGGAGGCTCGACTGAAAGCCCTCAACACCTGTGGATCCCACATTGGTGTTATCTTAGCCTTTTTCATACCTGCCTTTTTCTCTTTCTTGACACATCGCTTTGGCCACAACATTCCCCGATACATCCACATTCTCTTAGCCAATCTATATGTTGTTTTCCCACCAGCCCTCAATCCTGTAATCTATGGGGTCAGGACCAAGCAGATTAGGGAGCGGGTTCTGAGGATTTTACTCAAGACAGATAAATAGTCAGAGATCTTGGAAGGTTTGAACAGAAAACATGTTTTGTGCACTGTAAAAAGTAGATTGTCATGTCTAACCAAGTAGAAAAAAGGAAGGCAGAAAAGAATATTGAGACACATAACATTAATTGTCTTTGAGTTTCAGGTTTTAACAGTCTGAGGAATACGGTAGACCCAGAAACATGGAAGTAGGGCACAGACTGACATCTGTCAGAAGAGGAGGTGGGGGTGAGATAACCAATAGACATGTATACATAACCAATAGACATGGACAACAATGCCGGGGATGGGGCGGGTATGGGGTGGGGAGGGGGGTGCCAATGGGGTGAAAAAGGAGAAACATCTGTAACAACAAAATAAATAAAAAAATAATAAAATAATAAAAAAATAAATGGCTCAAGGCAAAAAAAAAATGTACATTAATGATAATATTGAATGTTAACAATTTAGTATCCCCATGCAAAAAGTTGAATTTAGACTGTTACTTTACCCCATAGAAAAAATTAGCCTATATTCGATCTGAGAACTAAGTCAAGAGCCAAAAGTATAGTTAAAGAATTAATTGTAATATTGGTCACAATATTTTATATGTAAAACAACAATAGCAACATATTATTAAATGATTAATTAGACTTCATTAAACTTAAAAAATAATTTATTTCAAAGATTCAAATAATAAAATGAAAATGCAAGCCACAGTCTAGGAGAAAATATTTATACATCATGTGGAATGATAATTTGCATTGAAAATAAAGAACTCACAATTTCATTATTAAATGTGTCAAATTATCCAATTAAAACACAAAATTTGTATATACATTTTTAAATCATATAAACAATTACTCAGTAAGTATGTAAAAAAATATCATCATAATTCATCACTGAATATGTGCATATTAAAACTACAATGTGGAACAAATATCAGCTCTCTCTCTGTGAAACTAAAACTTCCTAAAAGGTGTACATCTCTTAGCGTACTTCTGGATAGATCTATATAACCTTTCCATGTGAGTTTATTTCAAAGAAACCAAGGTGAAGATGATAGTCTTCTTTATGGTGTATTTTCAACATTTTTGCATCATGCTTTATGTTTTTGTTAGGAGATTTTACAAAGCTAATGTGTCTTTTTTCACTTGAAGCTTTTATTTATTTTTGGCTTTGATTTTATTTTCAAAGAGAAATTCATAAATTATAATATGAAATAATACAAAGAACCAGCGCCTTAAACTGCTATCGTCCTTGAAAACATTCAAACACTCCTTCAGAATTTTAATGAAAGTCCCTGCCCACATTTCCCATGTTCTTCTAATTAAACTGCTTTTCCTTCAGTACCACCAGCATTCAAAAGAAGTAAAACAGTCCCTTTTTTTCTATTTTATTGCAACAATACAGTTTTATACTGCTTTTCTTTCTTTGCCTTTTTCTTTCTTTTTTTTTTTTAACTTTAAACCATTTATTTTAAATATGTTTGTTTTGTTACAGATGTTTCTCCTTTTCTCCCCATTGACACCCTCTTCCGACTGCCCCCACTGCATCCCCAGCTTTGTTGTCTATGTCCATTGGTCATGCATCCATGCATATAAGTTCTGTGGTTTATCTCTTTCGCCCCTAATCCCCCTCCTCTGAGGTTTGTCAGTCTGTACCCCACCTCTATGCCTCTGGGTCAATTTTGTTCAGCAGTTTGTTCAATTCATTATATTCCACAAATAAGTGAGATCATGTGATATTTGTCTTTCTCTGCTTGGCTTGTTTCACTTAGGATAATGCTCTCCAGGTCCCTCCATGTCATCTCAAAGGATAAGAGATCTTTCTTTCTTACAGCTGCATAGCATTCCATTGTGTACATGTACTGCTGCTTTTTTATCCATTCGTCTACTGATGGACACTTGGGTTATTTCCAGATCTTAGCAATTGTAAATAGTGCTGCTATAAACATAGGGGTACATATATTCTTTTGGATTGGTGTTTCAGGTTTCTTAGGGTATATTCCTAGAAGTGAGATCACTGGGTCAAATGGCAGTTCAATTTTTAACTTTTTGAGGTAACACCATAGTGTTTTCCATAGTGGCTGCCCCAGTCTGCATTCCCACCAGCAGTGTACCAAAGTCCCCTTTTCTCCACACCCTCATCAACCCTTATTGTTGATTTGTTGATGGCAGCCATTCTGACAGGTGTGAGGTGATACCTCATAGTTGTTTTACAATTTGCATCTCTCTGATGATTAGTGATGTTGAGCATTTTTTCATTTGTCTTTTGGCCATTTGTATGTCCTTTTTGGAGAGGTGTCTCTCTAGGTCCTCTGCCCCTTTTTTACTTGGGTTCTTTGTCTTCCTTTTGTTGAGTTCAATGAGTACTCTATATATTTTGGAAATTAACCCCTTATCTGATGCATCATTGGCAATTATGGTCTCCCATATAATGGGTTCCCTTTCCATTTTGATGGTTGTTTCTTTTGCTGTGCAGAAGATTTTTAGTTTGATGTAATCCCATGTGTTCATTTTTTCCTTTGTTTTTCATGTCTTAGGTGTTGTATCAGTAAAAATTCTGCTGCATATGATGTCTGAAATTTTATTGCCTGCATTTTCTTCTAGGATTTTTATGGATTCATGAGTTACATTTAAGTCTTTTTATCTATTTGAGTTTATTCTCCTGTATGGTGTAAGTTGGTAGTCTAGCTTCATGTTTTTGCAAGTAGTTGTCCAATTTTCCCCACACCATTTATTGAACAGGCAGATAGATCAATAGAACAAAACAGAGAACCCAGAAATTGACCCAAGATAATATGATCAATTAATATTAAACAAAGGTGGCAAGAACATACAGTGGAGTCAAGACAGTCTCTTGGCTTTGATTTTCAACAAGTTTACTTAATGTGCTATTTATTTACAAATATATAATTATTATTGAAATGTGTAGTTCTTTTTAAATAAAGTTATGTCTTCCATTTTTTTTTTTTTAATATGACTGACCCTGGCTGGTTTTGCTCAGCGGTTAAAGCATCAGCCAGTGGACCAGAGAAACCAGATTCAGTTCCAGCTAAGGGCATGTACCACAGTTGCAGTTTGTCCCCGACCCCATTTGGGGTTGTGTGGGTGGCAACCAGTTGATGTGTCTCTCTCACATCGATGTTTCTCTCTCTCTCTTTCCCCCTCTCTCCTTCCTGCTCTATTTGAAGATAAGTGCAAACAATGTCCTTCGGTGAGGATAAAAAAAAAACAAATAAAAAAAATAAAAATTATGGCTGATATCTTTCCAAATATTGCTTCTATGTCATTTTTTCTCTCTTTACCTCATGTGATTCCAACTAAAATAAGAGGTTTGGGTATTTATCATCATTTAATAACTTTCCTAAGTTTTGAGTCATAAAAATAATAAGTTAATTCACTTCATAGATTCCATTGACTGGGAATTTAGAGAAAATAAAAGAGGACGGCTCTTCTCTGCTTCGTAATGTTTCACACCTCAGATAAAATCACTCAGATCGCTGAGAGTGACCCAAATGGGTGGCTTGAAGTAGTGAATCCTCCATCTCATTTCTAGGATGGTTCCTCTCTGCTCATGTCTTGCTTCTAGGCCAGGATAGTAGAAATATAGGTTCCTCTGGGAATCTTGTCCAGAGAACCTACATTTGACTTTTCTAGGATGGTGGTCTTAGAATCAACCTCTTACCAAGGTTCCAAGAAGTCATCTACCCAACAGTACAAGATTGAAATTATATGGTCTATCAAAATAAATTCTGAGAAGTTAGATAGCACTGCCTTCAACATACTCTGCTGGTTCAAGCAGTCATATGCCTCTCCAAATTCAAAAGGAGAGGAATTAGACTCACATTTATTGATGAGTGGAGTGTCAATTGTTTTTAAAAATCAAAGGCCACTCTTTTATAATAAAAGAGTCACACAACTAGGAATTGGAAAGAACTTCTCAACAAAAGATATTCATGGAAAAATCCACAGGTAATGTTATGTTTAATGATAAAACCTGAATGTTTTTTAGCTAAGATAAGAAACAGGACAAGAATTTCTACTTGCATGCCTACTATTTTTTTTTTTTTACCTTAATATTTCATGAAGCTAAACTTCATTAATTTTGTTCTATTGACATTTGTACAAAGAGGGCTTTGAAAGCCTGTGGCTCAGAGTTAAGTGGCTGCAACCAGCAGAAAGGTACCACGTCTTCCCGAATGTGCAAGAATATCCTTGTTGGTAGGGAGTTTCTAGTCCCATGATGATTTTCCCCTGTCCAACATAGTTCTGAAATTTTCAGCCAGAGCAATTCAGCAAGACAAGGAAATAAGAAAGGGGATGGTAAAACTAATATATTTGCTGATGGCATGTATATATATACTCACAAAAAACTATTAGAGCAAATGAACATATTCATGTTCATTTATATTCATATAAAAAAGTATAAAAGTATTCAGCAAATTTATGGCAGACAAGAGAAACATATGAAAAGCCATGCGTTTCGATACACTAACAATGAGAAAAACAAAGAGTAAATTAAGAAAACAATTCATTCTACAATACAATCAAAGTATTAACATAATCAGAAACACACTTCAACAAGGACATGCAAGATTTGCACAATAAAAAGTGAACAATCATCGCTGAAAGAAATTAAAGAACTAAGTAACTTGAAAGAGATCCTGTGTCCATGGATTAAGGACTTAATATTGTTAAAATGGCAATACTCTCAAAAGTAGTCTATAAATTCAATGCATTTGCTATAAAAATCCCAACAACCTTTTCTGCAGAAATGAAAACTCACATCTTAAAATTTATATTGTGAGAGGTCCCATAGAGTCAAGATAATCTTGAGAAAGAACAAAGTTGAAAGACTCACACTTTCTATAAAGCTATGGTAATTAATGCAATGTGGTGCCTGCATAAGAATAGCTATATAGATAAATAAAATAGAGTTGATATTTAAGAAATAAACTCAAGTGTCTAATGGCCAATATCTATGACCAGGATAATAGTCTGTAACAAAAATAAATTAATAAAAATTGGAAAAAAAAATAAAATAGAAAGAAAAAAAAAATGAAAAAGAAGATTGGTGCTTAGGTAATCAGATAATCCACATGAAAAACAAATGAAATTGGACTTTTACTTCACATCACATAGATGAATTGAACTCAAAATCAATCAAAAACATAAATTAAGAATGACTAGGAAAATCTTAGAAGAGTACAAGGAAGTGAATCTTTATGAGCTTGAATTTGGCAATGGTTTCTTTTTTCTTGTCTTTTTAATAATACTAAAATTCTTCAATTATAGTTGATGTGCAATGTTATATTAGTTTCAGGTGTAGGCAATGGTTTCTTAGCTATAACACCAAAAATACAAGAAGCAAGAGAAAAATGGATAAAGTGGACTTGATCAAAATTAAAAATGTTTGTGCAACAATTGACACGGCAAGCGAATGACAATAAAATCTGTAGACTGGGAGAAAATGTTTGCAGGTTACATATTAAATAAGGGTACCTAGAATATATAAGCAACTCTTACAAGTAAAGAAACAAACAAACCAAAAACAATTCAATAAGGAAAATGTGAAAAGAACTTAAATAAACATTTCTGTAGAGAAGATATATAAATGGCCAACATGCCCATGGAAATTTGCTCAATATCATTAGTCATCAGTGAAATGCTAATCAAACTCATGACATATCACTGGACACACACAAAGATAGCTGTAATAATAATTTTAAAAAGACAAAGTAAACAATTGTTGATGAAGATGTAAAGAAAAGGGATTCATCATACTTTTTGTTTAGAATGTGAAGTAGTTCAGGTGTTATGGAGACAAATTTTGCGGTTATGCTAAAATTCAAATTACATAGAATTACATGTGACTCAGCAATTCTGCTCCTAAATATATACACACTTAGAAGAACTGAAAATAGGTGTCCAAGCAAAAGCTCTACTCTAATGTTTATAATGGCACTACTCCCAATAAGTAAAAGGTATAAGCAACCCCAATGTTTATCAATTGAAGAATGGGTAAGCAACACGTTATGTAATCATATAATTGAATTTTGTTAAGCTACAAAAAAATTAAAAAATAAAATAAAATACTGGCACATGTCAAAACATGTATGAACCTTGAGACGTTATAAAAAGTATAAGAACCCAGATACAGAAGGACACACACCATATGATACCTAGAGAAGGAAAACTCATAGTAACAGACAAAAAACTGGTGGTTTCCAGGCTCTGGGGAAAGGGCGGAATGTTCAGTGGCTGTTTCATGGGTACAGGGATTTCTTCTGAAATATTAAAAATGCTCTGGAACTAGATAGGAGTTCTACACACACCAGCATACAATAATGAAAGAGGCACAAGACAAGCACACTAGACAGTCCAATTCAATAAAGAGAAAACGGGAGGGACACAGTGATCACTGGTCCATAGGAATTGTCATTTATTATCATTCTGTTGATTATCGCTCTGGAAGTGATCACTTGTTTCTCTTGTTTCTGCTCTCTGGGCTCCTGATTCCACCATCTGGTCATCCTTCCTTTTCATAAAAGCAGCTCTTGTTGGCACCTCTGTTGTTTTTCTCAGTTTTCTCCCCGTCTTTCAATAGAAATGTTGTACTGGTTCTGTCCCTTTCATTGCAAGCTGATAAAATTTCTTTAAAATTGTGTGGGTGTCTTATTGATCAATTTATAAATCTGTCCCACTAATTGGAATTTCCTTCAAGATAAATTCTTCTCTACTTTAGACCTTTTCTTGGACTTCTATTGTGGGTAATACCCAAATAAACTGATGAATAAAATAGAACCGGAGGCATGAATACATGGAACAGACTGACAGATGTCAGAGGGGCGGGGTGTGGGGGAGACTAGCATAAAGGAAAGTTAAGTGATTAGCCAAAGAACATATATAGCCCATGGACACGGCATGGTGAGGTCAGAGAAAGGGGTGATGAAGGCTGGGTGGAGGTTGGCAAAGGGGCTGGTGGTGGAATGGAGAACATCTGTAATAGTATCAAAAGTAAAAAAAAAAACCCTTAGAAACCTTAAGATTAATAAAGAGCATATGTGAAGCACACCTTTAAAATTTTGGAAGTCTTTTTACTCTGTCAGATATGTATAAGAAACTGATATAAGTCTTTGAGATCTTAACAAAGACTTTATAGTCCCACTCTTAATTTTATTTTTGTCTTGAAGTTCTTTTTATTTTGAGAATGTTTAGCCATGAATAGAGAGTGTGACTGGAAAGAGACTTGATTAAAAAAAAAACACAAAAAGCAACAAGTCTTGGCTACTTTATATCACCTCTAAATTTTATTGAAAATGCAATAATCCCATTTTTACTAGTTCCTTTATATCCAATTTTTATTTTACATCACTAAAATAAATCATTTGATACTTTTGATGTTCTGCTTGGAGACCACTTAAGCTAAACAGTTCATGATACATGTTTTCCTTTTTCCATGTTACTGAAGGCAATAGTTTGGCCAAACTTGCTCTATATAAAAACCATCCTTTTACTTAGGCCATCAATTCTCCTTACTTTTCTTCTGCCCTCACCTTCATCCTCCTGAAGGCCCATCACTCTTTCTCTCTATGCATGGCTCTCAAACCAATGACACATGTTTTGAGTTCCATTAATATGGAACCTATTTTAAGGTAGAACATTGTCTCTTGATTTTTTTTTCTTGTGTATAACAAATTCCAAAACTTAACAGTGTAAAACAATAAATTAAGATTCTATAAGTCAGGAATTCATAGAAAGCATGCCAGAGAAGACTCTCATTTTTCTCTGCAAAACAGCATTTTAGTTGGGGTAGGTCAAATGGATGAAACTGATTTAAAGAATTTGGATACTCAAAGGGTAAGAGATCTTTTTTTCTTACAGCTGCATATTATTCCATTGTGTAAATGTACCACAGCTTTTTTGTCCACTTATCTACTGATGGACACTTGGGTTTTTTTCCAGATCTTAGCTATTGTAAGTAGCACTGCTATGAACATAGGGGAGGAGGAGATCATTGGGGAAAAAATGGGGGACATCTATAATACTTTCAACAACAACAACAACAACAAAGAACTTTGATACTGCAACAAATAGGGTAGGTAATTGAAAGCTAGTGTCTTCACTTACACTTCTGGGGCCGAGGCTCAGCTAAGACTCTTACTTGTAGCTAAACTTTGAAAGGTTCTTAATCTTAGAGTATCTTCTCTCTGCCCTGGTCATCAGCCTCTTTCCTTGACCATATAATCATTAAACATCTGGTGGGGTAATCATGTGTAAGGAGTTAGGTTCACCTTATCAAGCTTTCTTCTCTCCAGATCTTGGGTCATCACATCACATTTTTGTTGCCTTATCTTGTCTTTCACTAGAATAGTTCATAGGCAGTAGGGTGAGGGAATTATAGACATATCAGATTTAGGCTATAACTAAGATGATGTACAACAGCCCTGGCCGGTTTGGTTCAGCGGTTAGAGCGTCGGCCTGCAGTCCTGAGAGACCCGGGTTCGGTTCCCGCTAGGGGCGCGTACCTCGGTTGCAGTTTGTCCCTGGCCCTGGTCGGTTGTGCGGGTGGCAGCCACTCGATGTGTTCCTTTCACGTCGATGTTTCTCTCTCTCTCTCTCTGTTCCTCTCTCTCCCTCCCACTCTACCTGAACAAAAAATGGAAAAATGTCCTCGGGTGAGGATAAAAAAAAAAAAAGATGATGTACAACAAAAAGGGAAGGCTGATGGGACATGTCATTGAGGAAGGCAGACAATCATTTTTTTTTTTTTTATCCTCATCCGAGGACATTTTTCCATTTTTTGTACAGACAAAGTGGGAGGGGGAGAGAGGAAGAGAGAGAGAGGGAAACATCGATGTGAAGGGACACATCGAGTGGCTGCCACCCACACGACCAACCAGGGCCGGGGACAAACTGCAACCGAGGTATGTGCCCTTAGCGGGAACCGAACCCGGGTCTCTCCGGACCGCAGGCGGTCGCTCTAACCGCTGAGCCAAACCGGCCAGGGCGGCAGACAATCATTTTAGTAGCTCAGGTATTAACTGGAAAATTTAGGCTTTTAATTAGAAAAGTAGAAAATATAAAGTCTCACTGGGGAAAATATGAGAAGATGACTTATGACTCATAGTTCCAGTGAGTGTAGGGAGGGAATCCTCTCCAGTGAATATCACTTAGTTTATGCCATAAATCCAGGGAGACTATAGTCCCCATCCCATGGAAGTAGGGCTACTGCACCAATATA